CTTCCTCATTTTGCGACAGTAGTTACAAGACTGTAAGCGGGATCGATACGAGCGCGTAGTAGCGCGTTAACCGACTGCGTGGTCCTGTTAATGTCCTCCGGGCAATTAGCATAGTGCTCCTAATTAAAAACACTCCGTGGCTTAACTCAGTGGTCGGACGGTGCATGTACACTTTTACTCCCGACGAGAATAACGCTCTTTGCAGGTGCGAACACGGATTCATGATTTTTTCTTTCTCGCGCAAAAGTTATGTTTTCGCATCTTGTTGCACTAAATTATAAATATCGAATCATTAAAAAACATGTAAAGAAAAAAAATTAATTATAGACATATAAAGATAAACTTAACATTATATATACATATATATATTTTTTTTTGTCTCAAGGAAAAGGAGAAAAATTGCTGATCATTTTTATAGGATAAAAAGATACTACTAGTTTTATCTCTCTTTCTCTCTTTCGCGCGATCACTATCCAACATATAATATAGAAAATAGATCTTTATATATCTATGAAACAAATCTTCATTATACAGTATCATTGCGAATAACAGTAGCACAGAAGAGCGTGAAAAAAACAAAGGTTTCACGCATTGAAATGAATTTATTCAAGGATGAAGCTAAAAATGGGTACATGAAAGCTGAGAGAAGTGACAGAGAGAAAAATCTCTTCATAATTGCTAATCGCGCCGTTTCAATGTCGCGCGTGCGCGATTAAAGAACTTTCCGAGGGAACGTTATTAAATTCTGAGAGGACCGACTTTCGCGCGGAGATATTCTCAAGATGAATCCCGACGAGCGACTTGGCAGTGACAGAAAGTTTTGCGCTCTCCTACTCCTTAAGAGAAGGGGATTATTATATCGTAGATTACTCCTGTTTAATGAAGCAATTTCAACGTGTTTAATTAACTTCACTTAAATATTCAGATCTGCAACTGCGTTAAATATCTCTCTTTTTCTTCGCTTGATTTCAATCGCGTACTGCGAGCTTTTACCATTCCATTACACACATGGTGTGCTTCTTTTATCTATGAAAATATTCTCAAAAATATCGCGTAGATATATTTTAGATTTTTTTACGTCACTATTACCATGTCGGCAATTAAAAATATGTCATCGTTAATTTTTACGATCATAAATTAAGCGTATTTAAACATGAGACGGTAAATAACAAACTCTCCGCGCGTTGATAGATTTCATCCGTCTAACATTCGATCTGGTCGATCGTTATAATAATTTCTTTTCGAAGCTAATTCCAAGTGATATGACTTTTAGGTTACATAATTCATGCGAGATCAATACGAGAGCATGCAAAAACCAATATTAACGATCTCCGAAATATGCTGGTAAATATTTGGCGACTATACCCGAGCCCGAGGTTAGCTCAAGGATATCATACGCATGCATATCGCACATGTGCGCGTATATGTGCAACATGCGCACGTGTGTTTATGCCTGTTCGTTTGTGTATGTACGCATCATGCGATCGGCTTTTGGCGCCTCCACGTCAGAACGGCAAATGTCCACAGTCGATTTGAACCATATTACGCCAGGAGCGATTCACCAAGCTTCCAGCGTAATTGATTCGCAACAGTTATGTCATCCTCCGTGATACTAGGAGAAAACCGGAACAGTTTCAGCGAACGTTCGTCGTTGCTTAAAAGCGTTTACACTGATTCGTACAAATCAATCTGCCATTTTTTTTATACATAATATTGCGAGATACGAACAAAAATATTGATTTGCAATTCAATATATGCTCGTAACACAATATTAGAAAAAAAAAATAGTATCCAATAGAATAGATTTGTCTCCTATATTGAACATCTCACAAAATTTACAGAAATATAATCTCATATATATACACACTCAATTTTTAGAAATACATTAATTATTACATAAGCTTTTTCATCAAATAATTTTTTAATTTAGTAATATTTTATACATCATATAAAGAGAGAAAAGAAAGACTTTATTCGATCCAAATTTAATTTTGGTTAATGTTTACATCATATAACGTATTTAAATGCGGCATGTAAAGCGGATGCAGATGTCAACACATATCTGCGATATCGCTTTGACCAGAAGAGGAAACCGCATTTCCGCGTCAGTGTGGAAATCCATGCAATACAAGAGAGACGAATGATTTTGCGCAAATAAAAGAGTCAGAAGTAGCAGGCAAAGTCACTTGAAAGAAATAAAAACTATCCGAGACAGACGAAAAAATAGACCTATACTATCCGAACAAATCAATAATCGAACGAAAAAAGTTCGGTTAATACGTGCATAAAATTGAACTCTTTCGCTCGTTCGTTCCTCGGTACGAACAGCGTGATTTCATCTTGAGAGGATTCTGCGCGTAGCTGCTGCGATTACCATTTAAAGGGGCACAGGCCGCCGTATATGTTCGTGTGTGCCTGAATCAAGAGGTATATGAATGAAACTGCAGTTATGTAAATGCGCACCGCGGTCATGGCGTTGTGCATGTTGTGCAATCAATTTCTAAGAAGTGTGTCGGGTCATATGTACAATCAGAGGACGTCAGTTAACGACAGAGAGATAGAGAGAAAAGGAAGACAGAAGATGGCGAAAGAAATCGTCTACGGATAAACCAGCGAGTAATCCGCGAAGGCATGAGAGCCGCGGGATAAAACGAGTCGATTTCTTTCTGACAGATGCGGGTCTTTCGCAAACTCATTAGTATTCCGACGTGTCTAATTTATCGCACGCGCATTGCAGATACCGCTCCAACGCACGAACGTCTTATCGCCAGTTGCAAAGTTGCGATAAGAAACATTACTTCCGACATTCACACAAGTTGTGCAAAATAATAATAAGTAAATTTTCGAGATGTTGATCCAATCAAACGTGTGTTGCGATATCAAAAAGCTTAAAAAAATTATAGAGTAAATTACAGAATAATCTTCCTCGGTAGCTATATAAACATAGGTGTCTCCTTACCTAGTATCACGGTTGAGTCGAGCAATTAGCAATTATCCTCCAGGGTGATCACCTAATAGACCAGGATGTTATTGTTTGTAAACTGGCGAAGGACGCCGCCGTTACTTCGTCTTTCCCCGATTACCATAAATGGTAATGGCGCACTTATTGGTGCGTGAGTGCCTATAGTTGCAATCTAGCTTTACTTGACGCATGCATTTGCGTACTAAAGAGATTTAAACTTTATTTCTATGTGAATAATTTCTGTAAATATGAAAATTTAATATGTGTATTGTCTAATAAATGTATATATCTTCTTTTAAGTAGAAAATTACAGTTTAAGACTAAATAAAAACTGATATAAAATATACAGGGTGAGTCATTTTAATCAACGCACGCAAATATCTCGTAAAGTAAGCAAGATGGAATGATTACACGAACTTCCTTTTATAAGTAGTTAGCTCTTTATAAGTAGCGAAAGAGTACGCTATGCTACGTGCGAGCGAGAGAGAACGCAAGGAGCACGGAACGTTGAAATTAAATCTTCTGTAACTTACCAAGTTGATAATTTACAATTACCTCTTTAATCGAGGGTTCTTTCTTTATTTATTATTAACAACTGTGCCATGCTGCACAGATTTGTGTACTCCCTCATCGTAACTATTATTTATTAAATTCAATAATCCATTAATGCACATATAAATACAAATTTTATATATACTTACATATATATAATTTTTATACAATTATATTGTATAAAAACTGATTGCAAATATTTCAACAATTTCTGTGCATTTTTATTTTGCACCAATACAACCTTAATTATACTGGATTCTCATAAAGACTAAGTGCCATTCATTCATTCTACATTAATTATGTGCTTGAACCTACATATTTTCATAATGTTCAAATAATCCACTCAGATGACTATGGCGGTATTATGAAGTATATGGATATAATTTTGGAACACGGTTCAACAGAAGATGATGGACTGGATTCCATAGAGATGTCACAGAAAAAAATTGTTGAGCTATTTGATAATCGAGAAGAAAACGCATCTGATTCGTCCAATTCCTCCAAAAGAATGATTATCAAAACTGAACGCAGAAGTCAAAAGAATATGCGAGAAAGCATTAATCGCGAAGAGTCTGAATGTTCCTATTCAAGCAGCTCAGAGAATGAGATTAGTAAGAAAAGAAACCTGAATTTTGACGATTCTCGGGAACGCAATTCGAGCTCTAGCAAAAAGAATGTTAATGGAAACTTGAAAAATAAAAATGCGTCTACATCTACTTTACGTACAAACAGAAATAAATCAACCGAAAGAAATCAAAATCAACCTTCAAATGTTGATGCCAGATATAATAGTGGAATTATTCCACATTCTGAAAGTTAGTATATGTAAATAAATATTTTTCTAGTCATAGAAAAATATTAATCATTTTATTCTTTAAGATTTACATTATATATTAAAATGTTTAATTATTATATCGATTAATTTAAAAAAATATACTTGCATATTCTATTTCCTAAATCTCAAATGTAGAGCATTTATGCATTTTTAGAAAGAAACATTATTTTATATACTGTTGGTTTTATGAATCTTGATTTATCAATTGTTATATCTGTTGTATAAGGGCGGGAGCACAGACTTTTGCACAGGCACATAACCATAAACATAAGAAAATTGATTGGTCCATTTTCTTATGCGTATGCTTATGAAGCAATCAATTTCCTTATGTTTATGATTATGCACTTATGCAAAAGTCTGTGCTCCCGCCCTTATACAATTTTTTGCAATAGAATTATGTTTGATAATGACTTAATATGCAATTGAATTCAAAATATGTGTGTAGATAACTTTCAATGTGTAATAAAACTTTCCGTATCAATATTTTTTTGTAAAAAACGTATCAGAATATCATTATTTTAATAAATGTAGAAATTGATATTGTATAATAGAAACCATAATAATTAAGTCTTTATCTTTCTTTTTTATTTTTCTGTAGAAACAATAAAACCAATAGTAAAGGATATCAGTTTCGATTATGTAGATAGAGTTAGGTATATATAAAATATATATTTCATTACAGATAAAATATTTATTCTAAATTACGATCTGATATTATTTTATAGGTTCGTCATCAAAGAATACACAAAACATTGACGTTGAATTTAACGGACATACATCGTCAAGACTGGAAGTAGGTGCAAGGGCAATGTCTCAACAACAATTTCAAGAATGTGTGGTAGAGGGAATGGAAAAGATAAGTCGATTATTACAAACTATGTGGCCATTTTTAAATCCAACATCGAAACCGGACGGATTTCCGGAGTTACCGCTGAAAAGCGATGATGATTTCAAAAAATTGGAAGAACTGCTATCTATAAAAGCAGTAGATGCTGGGGGTCATGAAATACCCGCCCCTGCTTACACCTATCTGGTACGGTTTAAAATTATGATAATCTCAGATACTCTCAATTGGCCGAGTCGCGTATAGATACACGATGCGTCTCGCCGTTGCTACACGCGATCTTTGCTTTATGTGACTTGGCGCGAGACACTACCGTGTTGATAATCACGTCTACTTCTGTAATTTGAAAACATTTAAACTTGACTAATGTGGCAATCATGATTTTTCATAGAAAGGACGTCTTTCCACAATTGGCGGAGCTCACCAAAGAGCCAGCGTAATGAATATGCTAAAATTCGTAATCACAAACGAATTAGCGATGACCTACAACTGGAAAGGGCAGAAGAAAAGAAGTTTCGAAACCACAAAATTACGTGAAGTTATCACAGGTATATATAATACAATCTTTTCAATTGGACATCGAAACAAGCTCATATAATAACACTGTTACAAACTATTTATCTTTTATAAATCAATTACTATATTCTTTCTTTCTTCTGTCACAATAACTTTTTACAAAATTGCAATACTAGTTTTTTGACATTTGACATTTATTTTTATATATTATAAAAAAATATTTAGATTTCTTATAATTATTACATATATTACGAATTTGTGTTATTACATAAAAAAATTCAAAGCGGAGTTCATGAAAATTGAAGGATTATGGAATTTTTTGAAAAGCATATTTTTGTTTAGTGTAAGAAAAGCCCTACAAGAAACACCCATTATTTGTTGAGAAATACAAAGTTGATCAAAATTTGTTGTTTAATGTAATCTTTGTTTATTACTTTTTAAAATACATATTTTTAGTATATACATATTTTTATTTTTTACAGATGCTGCTCAAATGCAATTTAAGAAAAACAATTGTGATCAGTGCATTAAAGATGCCATACAATCGTGGCTAAGTATGGCCAAAAGCCGTCACATGCACAATGCAAACGCAAGGAAAAACTGAAGAGCAGGAAACTAATTTTCTTATTATTATGATTACTAACAATAACTTGAAATAACTCTATTATATAATAAATAAATATATTCTGTTTTATTATTATAAATACTAATCTTTTTATTAATCATGTAACGCATATACTAAAAAAATAAAAGAAAAATTACGATTAAAATTTATTTGTTACTATTTTATTTTATATTCAAGTGATATATATTATCTTCTTTGCACTAAAATCTTATTATTTATTATTATTGTGTTGTAGCTATATAATCGTATATAATATATTCATTTAAAAACAAAAATTGCTTGAAAGGATAATAAAGACAACATATTTTAAACAGTAATTGCAATACGTTTATATATATATATACTCGTTATTCGTAAAAAAATTATGCATTCGTAAAACATAATTTATCCGTTTATCAAATACGATTTTAATTGGTTGGAGAATAGCATTAAAAATACGAATAAATGTAGTTTATGACAACGTATATCAACCGGACATCACAACTAAAATTATACGGAATTGATATACGTTGAATCTATTATATTTAGATACCCCGTAAATACTTAATTTAAACGTATAATATACCGTCGTGTGTTTATTGGGTTATTTATCTCATGTATCGAAATAAGATATCTTATTACCACGATGGAGTTCCCGCACATTATTCCCGTCGAATACGAGAAATTTTAGACGTGCGTTTTCCGGACAAATGGATAGGTCGAGGTATATAATTATATATATATATAATAATTTTGGATAATACAATAAATTGAACATATCAGAGTTATAACGATTCCAATCTTTGTTTCTGAGGCTCGGTGATATTGCTCATTCGCATATGCTCCGATATTTCATTAAAGAATCGCGATCAATCGGTAACCCATGCGTCATCGCAGTCGTAAACGCGAGAAGGGTGCGAAGTACGAACGGCTAATTAGTATTTCAACGTAAACGACGGGTGGATTCTCATTCGGATACCGTACGATCAGCGTGTCACGACAAACGCGAATCCGATCCGACGCCGGTTAACCCTACGCACATCCTAACGGACCTATTTGCAAATTGGTTTTCCGTCGACGTGGCCGAGTTGTGTCCTGGCAATAAACGCGGATACTCCGCTCGACGGATGAACGACGTGCGTTTGCTTGATTGGTACTGCGAGTATCGCGCTCGCGCGCGGAATGGAATTGATGAGGAAGACGACGACGTCCGTCGCGCGAATTTATTTTCCTGCGGTGGCGTCGACGGCGGCATCGATGTCGCCATCATTCGACACGTAGTCGATGTAATGTCGACGCCGCCGTCGAAACGCACCGAAGTCACGTCTCCGAATGGTTGCTTCATCTTGATTGCATTTGTTCCGCCGACCGACTACCGATACCGTATCCTGAAGACCGTAAAATAGTTCCACCTGAAAGAACGGTATAATAAGCACTAGAGCGTAGCGGGAGAGACGCGTCAACGCGCGGCAAATCCAATGAGACCAGATGGAAATGTATCGGATTTGACACCGACTATAACCGTTTATGTATGTCAGATACAACATGTGATAATTTACAAAATTGGAATTTTCAATGCGGACATAAAAGAATGATGAAGACAACTCTTACATAGTTAAAAGTTGCTTATTGTTAGTTGCTTTTTTCTTACTACCTCATTTTTACAAACTCTTGTAATCCATTCGAAGAGCTTATGGCTAAAGTTGTTATAATCATGCGAATTATTATATAACTTTACAAGCTTGATCTTGCGTTGTCTTCAACGGTCTATCGCGTAAGATTACTCGATATCTATCGCTACGTAGTGAACAGAAATCTGTACGATATACATTCAACCTTGATTGTAGAAAAACGTACGAAAAGATAGTCAAGCTTTTTATTATATAATCGCTGGATATGTTTTACTTTGAATCATGATTCATAGAATAATTTATTTTGCATAACGATTGCAATGATGATCATTATATAAAACCATTATCACGTAAAGAACTAAATTGAGATATTTTTTTGTTCAGAGTAGCAAAACATGATGCGCTATACAAATATATTTTATACATATGACATATAGAAAATTAATCTGCACTATTAATTAAAAAAATAGCTTATTGAATAGTTTATTTATATATATGTGTATGTATATGTGTATGTCTATTGATGTTAGATTATTTCAATGATATGTACACGATTTTAGCATGTCTCAAACATAAATGATGGTAATATTCAAATCTTGTTAATTACATACTGGTAGTTAATGGCATGTTTATGTAAATAATAACATGCTGTGTATTTACTATAGAGAGAATATACTAATTATAAATGTAACATTCAGGGCTCCAAAATACAAATTATTTTGAAATATGCAATTATATGCATAAATTTAATCGTGAGAATCAAGTAACAATCAAGCCGTATCGTAAATGACATTTAATCATTGATAAAAGTATTAACATTTTGATTGATCTCTTCTCGTAAAATGAAAGAAAGAGGCGGGGGTAGAGGAGTGACTCGTCTTACTCATACCGGAAATATCAATGTCGATCGTGTGATATTGTGCGAGTTATGAATCATCGCTGCAATAGCTATTACAAGAGTATTCTTTATGAACAGAATGACTTGGGGCAATATAAAGATATAAAGACATTCATTTCACTTGTCTCGGAATTGGTATTCATTTATCCATTCATTTCTGAAAATATGAGAACGTATAAAGTATTCTGTCAAGAAAAATTACATGGAACACGTTATCAATAAAACGAGATCATTGAAAATTATGTATTTCGTACATGCTATGTAATTGCTACTGGTTACAATACTCGGAAACTCCAACAACAATGCAACGTTTGAAATCATATTTATAATTCATGCTATAAAATTAAATAAAATAATTAAAACCTTGGAATAAATATAGAACAATGTAATTATATTTTCAATTGACAACATTTATAATCGTCTCTTTCTTTCTTGAAGTTAATAATTATTCTCAATTTTTTTATTGGCACTTAAAAAAAATAAATATTTGTTGTGTTTTTTATTATAATTTTTCATATATAATAACCATTAAGTTTAATAACAAAAAATTCTTTCGTTATATCATTATTCGGCAATAACAAATATTGTTTTACTTGCTTTTTACAAAAACGATACTAAATATATATCGTATTAACTACTTAAATTACGTAATTATATAGATCATCGAATTAGTGCCATATTAGCGTTTAAGAGAAATTAATTTAAAATAACAATTAATTAATTGTGATTGATGACATCATTCACACGTTATCTAAAAGAAGAAAGTAAACTCGTAATTGCGCACTATACATCGTAAAATACAAGATATACGTCGGGATATTCTTAGACACACTACATAGATTTCTGTAGGTCATTCAGAAAATGCGTACCTATAAAGTATGAATCAGCTTTACTACGGTCGCACGTGTTTTGTTACGTAACGGTCTTCTCACCGTTCGAAGCGATATTATTCATTTTTCATCACACTTACGAAATTATCACCTTACGCATGCGCACGCAAGAAAACGAATCGACAGGCTTTCAAAGATTGTTACATCTTAATACATTTTTTGTATGTTTTTATATAATTATCTTCGAATTCTTTCGTAATTTGTGAAGGAATTACAACGTTGGCAATGAAAACGAAAATTTCAACTAATAATTAGCTTATATAATGTTGTAATATCTGTCAAAGATCTTATCTTGAGTGTATTCTGTGGATCGTACATTCCTCAGCGACAGTATAATCAACGTCTGTCCCTGGATCCAACACGTGATAATTCGCGTAATGCACGGCCCCGACTTCTTTTCGTCGACGATTACGTAAGCGTGAATCGTTTTCGACCCGACGAAAACGCACACGGTCGTAATTGCAAACAGCATTGCTCGCACGGCAAGAAAACGTTTTCTCTTCACCGGTGTTCTTAATGATAATGACCTGCGTATCGCGCCATGAGAGCGCTGTTATCATCACGGCGATTGTGAGCATGTACACAATCGTTCTGTAACAACTTCAACCTCTTTTTCCAACCTTGCCTCCTGTGTATCGCTCCTTCTAACAAGACACGTATTGCGTTACAATTGCATAGTAACGTTGCTAAATTAAAAGATACTTTTTGCTGAAAATATATTATGTTCTTTTTACATTCAAATTAAAACAAAAATTAGCGTTGGTTTAATATAATCGAACTTTTCGATATAAAAGTTGCAATAAAAATAAATACATATAAAAAATACATATAAAATACTTTTTATATCTTTAGTATATCTTTAAATTATCATAATTATAGTGGACATATTATACGTATATTCTTTCAACATATATGTATTTACTCTGCAAAAAATATCTATGGAACGTGAACTTTTTCTTTCGAAATACGCATAGTATTCTGTCTGCTCGTTTCAACGAGGCTCGAATGCACATGGTAGTGCAACATAGCGTTGTTGGAAAAATGTGTGTCAGTTTGCACATATCTCATGGTATGCGCAGCGTTACATGCATACCGCATGCAGCTGCATCTCGTGCATGCGCATGTACCAGTCCAAACAATCATACGGTCAACTATTGCAAACTTTCGTGTCTTATCGTGTGGCGGTTGACACGTACAAGCTAAGATTAAGTTCGTCGCTAGATATTTCTTGCAGTTCTCTCAGAGAAACACACCTATTTTATTTCCTACTGTTATCGCTGCGCGATTCTCTCTCTCTCTCTCTCTCTCTCTCTCTCTCTCTCTCTCTCTCTCTCTCT